AATTTTGCAAAATGATCGGACACTCTGTGAAGGATATTTGGCGTGTTCTACTGAGGTCATGCTGACCGACGTATCTTGATCTTGGATATCTTCGAGACAGCTTTCGAACCCTTTTATAATATCGCGAGCTCTAGTTTTTTATTTTCGTTCCAATTTCGTTCTCGCAGTGGCTCGTATTCCTTCATCAGTTTTCTCAGGGGTAGATTTGAAGCTTTGTTCACTGAAACTTCTTATTTCGAGGGGGTAAAGCCGATTCATTGGGCGATGAAGAATTTTCTTATTAGGCAGTAGCAATTTTACCGATCTTACGAGTCCATCATTGCTTGTTATATTCTCAATAACTTTTCCATAGCACCAACTTCCACGTGGAAGGAAATTTTCACCAATGAGCACCATCTCACCGACTTCCGGTGTGGCCCTTGTGATATGCCTTTTTTGCTTCAAGCGGATCCTGTGAGATTCCCACAGGTAAAGCAGATATTCATTGCTCCATCTTTCCCAGAATTTAGCCGCTATATTTTCGGAACACTTTAGCGCTTCTTTAGCTTGCTTAACGGTTTGGATTACATCTGGATCATAAGATTCGTCTTCACAGTTCGAAAGTGTCTGTATTCGGAAGTGAGAATGATACGTTCCCTTGAAGGAAATCTATTGGTCTCAAAGGAATCTCTGTAATGTCGGTTGAGTCCAGTTTCGTCAGAGGGCGAGTGTTTAGTATAGCCTCTATTTTAGCAATAGCTGTACTCAGTTCACAAAATGATAGCTTTTTTCTACCGACGCTCTTCTGTAGGCATTTTTTGACTGAACCGACCAGTCTTTCCCAAACTCCACCCATCCATGGACTTGCTGGGGGATTGAAAATCCACTTGATACCATTGGAAGCACAAAACGTCATTAACGAGTTGTCATCGGTACTTTCATTTTTGAAAATATCAGAGATCATTCTTGATCCGAGTTTAAAATTAGATCCACAGTCACTTCTCATGAGGTGAGGTACACCGCGTCTGGAAATAAATCGAGTGAAACTGTTGAGGAATGCGCCAGTAGACAGGTCCTCTACTACTTCTAGATGCACAGCACGGATTGTGAGGCAAGTGTACAGACACACGTACATGGTTTCTCCGGATTTAGAAGGGAAAGGACCCATAAAATCACAAGCGGAGTTTGCAAATGGTTTTGTTATCGAAACCCTATCCGTTGGTAACGGTGGCATTTCTGGTGCACCAAACGGCATTCCTTGCCAGCGTCTGCAAATGACGCAGTCTTTAACTGCGTTTTTGTAAGCACTCGAAGGGCGCGGAACCCAGAATCGTTGTCCTATTATGGACAAAGTGTGGTTTTTTCCAATATGGGCGTTGGACCTATGCACGTCCCGCAGAACTAATTTCGTGAAATAGTCTTTATTGGAAAGATAGATAGGGGACTTTGTACCCGGAGGTAGAGCTGAGTTCTGTAGTCTTGAGACATGCCTAATTATACCATCTGGATCCCGTACTATTCTCTGATTCGGGAAGCGCCTTTGAAGATCTTCAAGGCTGACTCCTCCATGGAGATTCTGTATGAGCAGTTTCTCTGCTAGATTTAAGTCAATAGCGGAAATTTGGGGTGATGAATCGAATTTTGTGAGCAGCACAGGCTTGATATCGACTACAGCTCTGCTGTTGGTTAGATCTATCCATTGGCGAAGGCCTTTACCTACTCTAGCTACTGTGCGTAAACAGGAGTCCCAGTGGAGAAGCGATGATAATCCCAAACGAGACGTGGTCTCGTTTCGATTCGGCAGATGATGATTGTGTGGTCACTTGCCGCTGATCTCCGATATCAATATTCATTGGTTTGCGAACGTAAGATTTCAACTGCTGCCGTAAAGCTTGTGGCCGTACTTTTCGTACTTTATCAAACGAGGACCTGTGATCCCATGAGTGCCCTGAATTGGGGAACTTTAAGGCCTGCTAGTGCCAGCAGCGGCTGTTCAGTCATGAGTGTTGGACTGCAGTAAAGCGTGACGTCAACCATGCTCTTTCTACAGTTCTTACTTCAAGTGCCAGTATTCTCCTGCGCTGGTATGCTACACAGAAAAAGGCATTGCCTTCTTTCTGTCTTATACCTCACAGACACGAATTCACTATCTTATGATCTAATGACGAGCTTTCTTTATGAAGCAGCCATCCGTCTGTTTAGAATTGTTATTTCTCAGATTGGGCAAGTGCTATTAAGTATACCTAAGTAGTTCTCACTTCTGGTGTAATTCTCTGTCTCTGCGGTTGCCTTTTCTGGTTGTACAGTTTTTTGGTTTTGCCACTTACGAGTTGAGTAACCCGCGTTGTTTGGTAAATGCAACTGGTAAGCACCAAGTCGCAATCGCTGCCTTACTTGCATCTGCAAAAGCATAGAGGCAAGCGTCAAGTGATTTTGTATTATCCGTAACCAATGCCCGCGGTATGGTTATCTCAGCGTTATTGACTGATGAGCATAGTGTATTCCATTTCTGATGGAGTTCTGAGCCTACTCGGTCGTCCCATCCAGAATGGATAGCGAAGATTTCTCTCATCAGTGATTTGAGTTCAATTACTAGGGGTGCAACAACACCGAGTGGGTCGTATATGCTATTGATTTGCTTCACAACCTCTCTTTTGGTTAAGATCTGCTTCATTTCGAACTTGGTTCTCACTGTGAAGCGGTCGTTCCGTGTGTTGTAACTGACGCCAAGTATTTTCATTTCCCCTGGATCGGAGCGGTCTATTTCAGGTATAGCTGAATTGGCATTCTCTGAGTTGCATACGTATTCCCGGAGGTTCATACCAATTTTTGAGAAAAGATTCTTTGATTCCTTATATTTTTTGATGATTTCCTCCTCTGTTTGTGCGTGGAGCAGGATATTGTCCACGTAAAGATTTCTGCTTATTTCTGTAGACAGTTGTGTCCCTGTGGAACGCAAATATGCGAGGAGCGCCATGTTTAAGACGCTAGGTGACGCAGTTATGCCGAAAGGTAATCTGTTGAAGCGGTACTCTATGATGTTTGACCGTATTACTGGTCTATTGATATCTTTCACCCAAAGGAATCGGCACAGGTCTTTGTGTGCGTCTTTGAGCCTAATCTGTGTGAATGCCGCCTCTATATCGCAGAGCAGTATGTATTTGCTGAAGCGACTTGAAATCAGGATTTCGTGAATTTTGCTTCACAAATGATTCACCTTTATGTATCACTTCGTTGAGTGATAACTGCCCCTTTTTCTTGGACGAAGCATCGAAAACTATACGTAAAGGGGTCGTCTTCTGAGGACGCCACACACCTGAATGGGGCATGTAGTATACCCCTACCGCATTTTCATCTTTATCGAATACTTGTTCGATAATCCCTTGTCTTCGGTATCCTTCTAGGATCTGTGAATACCAATGAGACTGCTCTCGGTTCTGCTTCAGTTGGCTTTGGAGTGACGCCAGCCTTCTAATGGCAATGGGGTAATTGTCTTGCAACTGCGAGACGTTGCTTTTCAACGGGAACGGAGCTGTGACATATCCGTGGTTGAATGATATAGACTGTACGTAGTCTTCAAAGTACTGCTGGACTTTGTCGTCCAAAGCGCATTCGTCTGGAGATATGCCTAAGCCCTCCACTTCAAAAAGGTTTTCTAACATCCTGTTTTCGGAGTTTTCGACAATGGCTGTTAGTCCGAATGAGATAGTTTGCTGTTCTTCAGAGCAATCTAATCTACCGCGACCGTAGATTGCAGGACCAAAGAAGGTTTGGGCAATACGCAAACCGGAAGGAGTGCTCTTGGACACCCCGTCTTCCAAGGACAAGGTCATAATATCTGTCCAAGTCCCACTAATAT